GTGGATTTGGATGGTGTTTTGGGGTGGTGGTGGTAATGGCGGCGGTGATCGTGGTAGTGGCGTTTTGATTTGTTTTATTGAATTTGGCAGTTGTTTGGGGGTCGTTTTGGTGTTGTTTGGGAGGTTTTATGTGGTTTTTGTTAGTTGTACTGGTACAGATGTTGGCGGGGATGATGGATCTGGTTGTGGTGTGGTAGTGGTAGTGGCGATGGTTGCAAAGAGAGGATGGTCACAATTGACGGTAATGTTGGTGATGATGATATGCAGAGGCGGAGCCACGTTGAGTACCCGCACTGAAATTTCAGGCCCAAACTTTTTTTTTTTTTTTTTTTTTAGCAACAGGGGAATTGGAATAAAAATATGTTTTAATTTACATGGGTTTTATTTTTAGGCCCAAACCCATGATTTTGTTTTATAATTTTATCATCATTAAATTCATGACCAAAACACAATATTCGACATGAGTTAAATTATGCCCGCACTCAGTGGCGGATCCAAGAAAAAATTAAACACGGGCTAATACATATAAAAAAAATACTGCACATAAAAAAAAATTACTTAAATTTTTTTTTAATGGACATTGGGCTGAAGGGGACGGCCCAGCCCGTCCCTAGATCCGCCTATGCCCGCACTGAACAAATTTCCTGACTCCGTCCCTGATGATATGTGACCAATTATTTGGTCACCTATGACTAATTACTCAATTGTGACCTAAAAATTTAAAAACATGTGACTGAAAATTAATTTGTGACCAGTTAAAAATAATATGTGACCAATTAATTGTGATCGACAAATGAACTGTGACCTATGCAATTTTCGATTTGTGACCTCAAAATAAACAATGACCTATACAATTTTTGATTTGTGACCTCAAAATAATTTGTGACTAATTAATTCGATAATATGTGACCAATAAATAAATTGTCGCCTTTACTTATGTATTTGTGACTATTAATTTTATAACTGTGACTTTATTATATTTAATGAATAAATATTTTTAATTAATTATATATACCTAAATTAAAAATTTTTAAACTATTTACCATACTTTTAAATTGGCGTAAACAATACACTTTAAATATTATTTTTTCCCCTTATTATATTTATTGCTTCCTTCCTACGTAAGTAACTTTGAATTATTTAACCCTCGTTTGATTCTCATTCTTATAAGAATGAGAAGAATGAGAAAGAAAAATATAGTGGTTACGGAACTCATACAAAAAAAAAGAAGTTAAATAAGATAATTTGATGTGATAGATAACGATTATATTTTTCATTTTGGTGATCAAAGAAAGGGGAACAAACGAACTTTTTAACAAATATTAACGAATCTAGGCTATTAAATTGAGAACAGGGTCGGGTGGTCCGGTTCGCTACTTTTAGTTTTGGTGGATTGCGCCGACCACCATATACAATGCGCTTATAACCTACCCTACTGTCACCACCCCCAAATGGATTGATAACCCTAATTACTTAGGAAATTTGGAAAATCTCTCCAGTGCCTTCTAACCAAAATCAGGTTTTTTTTGTTTTTCCATGTCTGACCAAGATTCTTCCTCATTACTTACATTCAATTAGGTAACAATATACAGTGCACGTATTATCAATTTTTGTTGGATCTTCTACTTTTGTGGACAAAGAAATTGTATTTGCGCACTTCGTTTTCGTTTCTGAAGTTTCTTATTTTGATGGAAGTTTTTGAGTAAACG